TATTATGTACACAGTCCTAGCTGTCCTTTCACGCCTCTGAGATGGTGATTATCATTGTACTAAAGCCACTGCTTTCCTGGAAAACAGAGCTTGGGCTCTGATGAATATTTCAATCTGTATGTATGAGTCATAACGCTATCACTCCGAAAAATAGGTAGTTTATGAAACTGTCTCAACTTGGACATGTAGAACCAGAGTCAAGTTTGGTTGGCAAATGCATCAACAACTGCACCTGAGTTTGCCTGAAAACCAGTTGAAGAGTTGACGGGAGTCTGATGTATTGCCACACATTCTTTCACTTGAATGTTCTTTCTGTCGTTTTGTCATTCATATCACTACTGCCTCTAAACTCTGGTTCCGAAGCGGACTTAAACTGTGCTTTGGAAGACTAGTGATTAGCTTTACAACCCTCTGTAATATTGACACCAAGCGGAGATTCATTTTTCTCTGACTGTGGCCACCACTGGTTCACATATTTTTGGTGGCAAAGGAGGTGGTGAATTCTGGCAAAAGAGTTTTGGCATCTGACAACCATCCAGATCTGCAGGTTGACTGAATATATTAGATTTTGTACTTAAAGGTTTAGTGTATCATTAAATTTAAAAGAAAATATTTTTAAGGTTGATAGATTAATTATGCTGCAAATATGAGGGTGAGGATTAATTCAAAGTAAATTACTAAAAGGAGGGAAGGATTTGAGAGACGGACAAAGTTGTTTTAGATTGCGTAGCTGTCATTCATGTCCTTATCTGCATGTTGCTCTTTTCCTTTTAAAGTCTCGGCCCCTTAAAAATGTCTGTAATTCATAATACTTCGAGTAAGTCAATGGCATACTTATTCAACAGATATTTGAATCATTATTTAGCAGCATTATTTTTAAACAGCAATGAAAGACAAAATTCTTGGCTTTCATGGGACCTTTACATTGTTATTCTTTAAATATGTTATTAACAGAATATTACATTTCTAAGGGGGATCGCTAGACTGCTAATTTGAGGCACACACATCCAACAAATATAAGCACTTCAGAATGCTCATCCAATTAGCTTAAAAGGCTTATATGGAAATGTTAGAAAAAAGGCTTTGTATTGAAATTTATGGTATACTTAACTCTATGTTGCGATATATTCCTTATAACAGGCTAACGACTAGTTAAACACATTTCTCTTTCAGAATGGTCTTAGGTTTAGAGTCAGTATGGAATTGTTTTGGAGGGTTGTATTGCTGATGCTGGACTACAAAGTTAACATGTCTCCAGGTATTATTGCATTTGCTAATACTTTATGGAAGGTATGGTCAAGCATCTGAGGACACAAATTGGAATTCATGGTTTACCTGCATGACTGTTTGCATATGGTAAAATTCATACTGAGGGTGGGCACGTGGCTCACTCTGTATCTAGCACTCGCGAGGCCGAGGCAGGAGGATCATTTGAGCTTCAGGATTCGAGACAGCAGGAAAGAGTGAGACCCCCGTCTCTATAAAATAGAAAGAAATTAGCTGGACAACTAAAATATATGGAAAAAATTAGCGGCATGGTGGGCACATGCTGTTCCAGCTACTTGGAGGCTTGAGGCGAGGATTGCTTGGGCCAGGGGGTCTGATGCTGTAGTGGCTGTAATTGAGCCTGGATAAGTCATTTTCTTCAGCTTACGGTAACCAGGGAGACCCATTCCCTCCCCAATAATCCTTTAATAAAATTGGTGGTAGTATGAAGTCGAAATCTTTCCTACGATACTAAAAATTGTATTACACTAACCATGAACTGTCCATTGAAGTAATAGCTGTCTGCTTACATCGCACACCGTCCTTTAATGTGGATAAATGGACAAGAAAAGCTGCAATCATATGACAAACAAACTCAAAGAATACTCATGTGGATTTTAATTGGTATTCCTCGTAAATTTCACATCTTAAGTTGGAACATTGTTTTATTGTTCCATGAAATGATTGGGTGGAATATGAGCAGTTGAGAACAGATTTAGGGTTGGTAAACCTGAAATTTTAGGATGTAAGTGCTCAAATACCTATCCCTGGGTGGCATTGGTACGTTTGCGATTAAGGCGTTTTTTTAGGGTCAGTAGAAGTTATTTATGTAGTATGCTCTAGGTATAAATAAGTATTGGCTTGCACCTGTTTTTATAAGGGAAGGCCTTGTTAGTTTTGGTTTTAAAACTATTGAAAAAAATAAACTTTCGATGACATGAAATACATGCAATCGGATTTCAATGTTGACATGTTATTGAACAGCGTGCCTATTTTTATATTTTAATGGCTGCTTTCACACTACAAATGCAGAACTAGGTACGTTACAGGGACATTTATGATCCACAAAGTTAATTTTACTATTTGGATCTTTATGAAAGTTTACACTTTCTACAGGCTGTGTTTGTCGTGCTAGTTAATTTTAAGACCTCTGTGTGATAGACAAATGTCATGATCAGTGAAATTCCAAGTACTTCAACTTATATTTTCCAAGTACATAATTCCATGGGGGGCAAGTAGGAGGAACAGATTTGATGAGCATGCGAAGACAAGCTCCATATATTAACTTAAATCATTATCTTAAAAATTTTTGAACAAGAAGAAACTGACTTCACATGAATATAACATTCTGAAGATAAGTATTTGTAAACACTAATTGTTGGTTGCGTTATTAAAATTGTAATAAGTCTGAAAAGATGTATAAAATAATATCACTAGAATAAAATTTACACATGACATGATTAGTGAGTAACTTTATTCAATACTTATTTGGAATTTGAATCAACATAAAAACAAATGATAGTTTTCTAGTTTGTCAACTGGGAATACGTGGCAGGTAGGGAGTTAGGTTAGGCAGGGGCTGGGTTGGGTGAGCCTGCCCTCAGGCTATACAGATGCTTTTAGCAGGGGTAAAGGTCTGTTCCCCACCACTGGACAAAGCTGCCAGGGAGGGGCTGAAGTGGCCCCACTCAACCAGAAAGTATGGGTGTGGGGGTTGGGCTGAGACCTGCCATCTGTAGCAGGCCTCGCTCCTTTCTACTCTCCCCTATTCCATGGTTTCTCCTGGGCTTCTGCCAGCAGGCAGGACCTCAAGCCAGCTGAGCTGCCCTACAACTGTGATGCTGGTTGGGAGGTTCCTTTCCCAGGATCCAGGCCTATGCTGGGAGTGTGGCCCTCCCTTGGCGGGAGGGCGACCCACTGTGAAGTCTTACCCGATCTTCCCCTGCAGGTACCCACACCTCGTGAGTTTAATTCACAAATATCCCCTCTGTGCCCCTGGGCAATGCAATCAAGACCGTGGTGTGCATGATCTGGCCCGAGGGTCCATCCACCAGGCCCCTGAGATCAAACCCTGACCTTGCCAGGGAGAAGAATGCTGGTCCCAAGTCTCTCTCACAGGATGCCCAAGATGAATCAATGTCCCTCCGCCACAGGAGTGTGTCGCTAGGCAAGCAGCACCTGGGAGGGCCAGCAGGGAGCTCATAGTCCAAGCACCCCTCAGTCTACTGCAGGACCCTAAAAGGAAAGGTCTGAGCCCCATTCCCTGTGGAAACCTTTGTGTGGTGGCTTAATTGTCTCTCTAGGCAGCCGTGGGTGGGTGAGGGGAAGGGATGAAAAAGAGTCTAGATGGAGGAAAGTCCATCCTCTGATCGCCTCCAACCCACTGACCGGGAGGCAGTCCGCCCAGAATGATGGGGCTCTAGAGTCACGCAGATCACCTAGGACCCACTGGACCCCTGTGGCTCCTGCATTCTGGACTGGAGTTGGGGAATGTCTGTGGGGGGGGATCAGCAAGATGGAACCTGAGGAGCTGAGGCCCCTTGGGGAGGGCAAAGGCACCCAGTGGGTAGAGAGGCAATATGGCACCTGCCATCTGGCTTGGGTCTATGGGCAGGAGGCACCTGGGAGGGTGGTGAGAGCCTCGTGCCCTGGCTGCAAGCAGCTCTCCATTCACTGGCAGCAGTAATCTCTAGGTTTGCTTTGGCAAAAGGTCTCTCCAGCAGCTTAGGAGCCTACCAACAGCCCAAGATGTGAGACCGGCATGTTAGCTAATTGACCTACCCTTCTCACTGTTCTCTGAGCCTCTGGGCTTAATCCCTGCTGATGCCTTTCTCCTTCCAGTTCTGCTCCACAGCCTCTTACAGGGGAGTCTCCTGTAGGTTCAGGCACCCTTCCTTCAGACCCTCATCCGATCTCTGCCTGTGTGTCTGTTTTTTCTCTTTCATCTGAAATTTCTGCTTACAGAGACGCTATGGCTGGTGGTGTCTTTGGTCTGCCATCTTGTCCCAATAAGTCACAAAGCTCTGTACAAAGTTCACTTTGCAAAGTCCATGCTCCATTTTCATTACCATTCACTTTGAAAAGAATTCTGGCAGGGGGTAAAGTAGGGAACTGAGAGAATAGGGCAGGAGGAAGCAAAATAGAAGAGGAACACAGGAGCCAGATGGTAGTAAGGGACAAGTTCAGGAGAGAAGAGTGAATGCAGGAGGGTGCCTGTGGAGACGCAGCGCAGCCGATGTAGACAGCTCTCCTGGACTTGGAGTTGATCGTTCACACACTGTAAGTTAACTCTTCTTAATCTTCATGCTTATGAGTTTTACTTCTGAAATTTAACTTCTTTCTCATTCTATCGCTAAATTTCGACAAAGATTTGGGTGTCTTAGGCCTGTCTCTGATTTCTTGGAAAGAAATGTAAAGGATGGTATCACAGAAAGTGATGGTATAATTTTTATAAAATTCCCTGTCGAGCCATTTGTAAAGGGAGAAATTCTACTTTCCCCTTTTTTGGTTGAGACTGATACCTCAAGTATAATTTTCTAAAAAATGATCTGAATTTTCAGTTCTGATAGAAAATGTAAACCTTACTAGAAATAGTCTTTTCTTTTTTTATTAATATGTAAATCATTTAGGAATAGAAAAGTGGCTAAAACAATAAAGATTTCCAGAAATTGGCATAAAGTGTTAAAATGGGAAAATAAAAGGAAATGTTGCTGACAAATACTTGTTTTCTACAGATTGGTTTGCTGTTATCTAAATGAAGATGTTGACTCCTGGAGTGAATTCTGAAAATGACTGCAAACTTCTTGAATAAGGAAGACAGGATTGTGCAGAAGAATTTCAAAACTCTATGGGACTTTCATTTTATACTTTCTTTTTTCATTTTACTTTCTTTATTTCTCATTTGGAGAACTCCATTAAGCGGGTAGGATCTCACCCATTCATTCCCAAGTTCTGAAAACTAGACGCTTGGGTTCATGTTTAAAAACTTTTTCAAACATCTCATGGCTTTTCAGGGACTGAATATAATATGAATATTATATTCAGGGACTGAATATAATAAAGCATTTGTACTTAAAGGTTTAGTGTATTCATTAAAATGTTAAAGGAAAGACATATTTTTTAAGAGTTGATCAGATTTAATATGCTGCAAATAATGAGGTGAGGCATTTATAAATTCAAAAGTAAATTACTCAAAAGCGAGGGAAGGATTTTGAGAGACGGAACAAAGTGTTCTTAGATTGCGTAGCTGTCATTCATGTCCTTTTACCTGCATGTCTGCTCCTTTCTCCTTTAAAACGTCTCAGCCCCTTAAAATGTCTGTAATTTACTTAAATACTTCAGTAAAGTCAATGTGATACTTATTCAACAGATATTTGAACTCTCATTATTAGCCAGCCATTATTTTAAGACACAGCAATGAACAGACAAAAATTCTTGCTTTCATGGACCTTACATTGTTATTCTTTAAATATGTTATTTAACAGGAATTTACATTCTAAGGGGGATCAGCTAGCACTTAATTAGGCCACACACACTCCCAAAGCAAATATAAGCACTTCAGATGCTATTCCAATTAGCTTTAAAAGCTTTATATGAGAAATGTTAGAAAAACAGGCTGTTGTCATTGAAATTAGTGGTATACCTTAATCTTTTTGGATATATTCCCCCTTATAAACAGGGCTAAGATCTAGTAAACTACATTTTCTTCCTTTCAGAATGGCTCTTAGGTTTAGAGTCAAGTCTGGAATTGATTTTGGAGGGTTGTAATTGCCTGATGCTGACTACAAAGTTAACATGTCTCCAGGGTATTATTGCATTTGCCTAAATAACTTTATGGAAGGTATGGTCAAAGCATCTAGAGGGACACAGAACTTGGAATTTCACTGAGTTTACCTGCATGACCTGTTTTTGCACTACTGGCTAATAATTCATCTAGGGCTGGGCACGGTGGCTCACATCTGTAATCCTAGCACTCTGCGAGGCCGAGGCAGGAGGATCATTTGAGCTCAGGAGTTCGAGACCAGCAGGAGCAAGAGTGAGACCCCCGTCTCTACTAAAAATAGAAAGAAATTAGCTGGACAACTAAAAATATATGGAAAAAATTAGCCAGGCATGGTGGCACATGTCTGTAGTCCCAGCTACTTGGGAGGCTGAGGCAGAAGGATTGCTTGGGCCCAGGAGTCTGACGCTGTAGTGTGCTGTAATTGAGCCTGTGAATAGTCATTGTTCTTCAGCTTAGGTAACACAGGGAGACCCCCATTCCCTCCCCAAAACATAATCCCTTTAAAAAATGGTGGTAGTATGAAGGTCGAATCTTTCCTACAGATACTAAGAAATTGTATTACACCTACCATTGAACTGTACCATTGCAAGTATAGTGTCTGCTTACATCGCCCACACGTCCTTTTAAGTGGATAAATGGAACACCAAGAAAAGCTGCAAACTCACTATGACAAAAACAAAGACATCAAAAGAATAACATCCATGTGATTTTAATCTGGTAAATTCCTCTGTAAATTTCACATACTTAAGTGGAAACAATTGTTTTAATTGTTCCATTTGAAATGAATTGGGATATGAGCAGTTGCAAGGAACAGATTTTAGGGTCTGTTAACCTGAAAATTTTAGGATGTAAAGTGCTCCAAATACCTAGTCCCTGGGTGGCATTGAAGTACGTTTGCAGACTTAAGGGTTTTTAGGGTCAGTGAAGGTTATTTAATGTAGATTATGCTCTAGGTCATCAAATAAGAGCTAAATCTGGCTTGCCACCTGTTTTTATAAGGAAGGCCTGGTGTTTAGTTTTTGTTTTAAAACTATTGAAAAAAAATCAAGACTTTCATGACATGAAAATTACATGCAATCCGGATTTCAATGTTGACAATGTTTTATTGGAAAATAGCCGTGCCTATTCATTTATATATTGTTAATGGCTGCTTTCACACTACAAATGCAGAACTGAGTAGCTGTTACAGAGACATTTATGATCCACAAAGCTTAATTTACTATTTGGATCTTTATAGAAAGTTTACCAACTTTTCTACAGGCTGTGCTTTAGATCGTGCTGAAGTTTAACTTTTAGGAACCTCTTGTGATAGACAACATGTCATGATCAGTGAAATTCCAAGTACCTTCAACTTATATTTTCCATAAGATACATAATCCATTGGGGGGGGAGCAAGTAGGAGGACACAGTTTATGAATGCAAATGCGAAGACAAGTCCAATCATATTAACTTAAAAATCAGTTTATCTTAAAAAATTTTTTGAACAAGAAGCAACTGATTTCACATGAAAATATAACATTCTGAAGATAAGTATTTTAAACACTACAATTGTTGGTTGCATTATTTAAAAAGTTGTAATAAGCTTCTAACCAGATGTATAAAAATAAATATGCACCCTAGAAGTAAAAATTTTACACATGAATGATTAGTGAGTAAATATATATTCAATCTGTATTTGGAATGTTGAATCAACATAAAAACAAATGATCAGTTTCTAGTTTGTTTCAACTGGGCAATACGTTAAAAGAGGCAAAATTGGACAATTCTATTTTATGTTTGCAACTCAACTGAGTTGAAAAGACAAATCTAGGAAACTGCTGTTAAATACAGAAATTAGTTTAAAAGTTTCAAATAATACATTTCCAATTGGGTAGCTTGACTAAATAGAAACTAAAAAAGAAAAAACTACACAGGAAGTTTTTGAAAGCTATTAAAAATACTTGAAGCCCATTTTTTCTAGTATTTTACAATGTTATAAAAGCAGCCATTAAAAAACATTGACATTTCAAATACAATTGTACAAACTACATTATTTACAAACCCCCCCATACTAAAAATTATGTTAAAAATAAGATTTCTTAAAAGATAAAATTTTAATTTAGTTGGTATTCAAGTATTTCTAATAAGAATATAAAGTAATAATCACCTACTGTTATAGTTAGAAAAGGCTAGTAAAAACTTCCCTACAGGTAGAAGATAAAATTTGGCCAAGATCTGGTAAAGTTAAACTTTTACAAGCAGTTATTTTCTATTTATCTACAAGTATTCATATTTGATCATTTACAGTTTGGCATATTTTAATGCAATTTATGGAATCAGTCAAGATATTAAATATACTAATTAGTTTATTGAATAATTATATTTATGAAGTTTACCCATTTAGGAATGTAAAAAAAACTTTAAATTCTATGATTTTCAATTCTCTAAACATTATAAAACTATTTTAAACTACAATTAGTTTACCAGCTTAGTACAAAATAAAATGACAACTGATAAAATAAGGCAATTAAAGTAACTTATTTTCACTCCTAAGGTTATCATAATAATGAAAAATTCCTTTATTTTTAAATAAAGTCCTCTCCGTGAAAATAGTTGGGATAAAATTACTATTTATTTAGAGTATTAAAAAAGGGAAGGATGCTAAATAATTAAACATTTCATTAAAATTAAACCTTCTATATGAAAGGCAGAAATTTAACATGGAAACCTAAACAGATCTTCAGATTCAACAATATGAAAATCAGTAAATGGGTTGACAAGATTATAGCAGAGAATATGTAGGCAGTTACAGTGACATTCCCAATAAGAGGGTCCTAGGTTAATTCCTAACACTGGTTATTAGCAGCCCAACATAACCAAACCAAAATAAAGACCATTCACATTTCATATAAAATTTTTAAAAAATGTAACAAGATAAATAAATATACTAAAGTTTAAGTATTTTAACTTTTTAGCTTACACAGCTGAAATAGTATTTATGAATACATATAATAGTCAAAGGCCTAATTTATATTAGCTAGATATTCTGAAGATAAAAGTTCTAGGAGCCAAGTTATGTCTGACTTTGAAAATTTAATTTTAAAACTAATCATTAAGGCATTTTTTTTAATGCTATCAAAATTTTTTAAGACACTTAAAGGGCTCATATGTAGTAGACTATCACAGAAGTCAAAAACAAATGGGCCCGCTTTTGGCTACCCATTAGAAAGTGCTTCTTCATAAACCAAATACTTCTTTGACTAGATAAACTATGTGTCACTTGGTATTTTTCCATTAGCATAGTTTACAATCTACACACATGAGTACTGGTTAGTTTAATACTGGTTAGTAGCCACACGACAGAGGGACACATTTAATTTTTATTCAACTGTAGCATATGGCAAATGAATTGTTACATACCCCAATTTTCTATTTTTCAAGGCATGCCAAGACTATTCAAAGGAAATTTCTAAAATATCCAATAAATTGATCATAAAGCTTTATATAAATTATACATACATACACACATACATATATAAAGTGATTCACGACTTTAAAAATGCCATGAGTTTTGACTTTATGTATCACTAGGTTTGGTCAGTAGGTTCCTGTTATATTTAAATGGCCTCTGAGAAGTACAAGCTTGCCAATTTTGCCATTTTATCTATTACAACGTATGCTAGGTTTACATCTTTGCTCGGAAGGGCAGTTTGAATCCAGACTATTATGTAACACAGGTCCTAGCTGTCTTTCACTCTGAGATGGTGAATTATCATTACTAAAGCCACTGCTTTCTGGAAAACAGAGCTTGGGCCTCTGATGATATTTCAATCTGTATGTATCAGTCATACAGCTATCAACTGAAAAATAGGTAGTTAATGAAACTGTCTCACTTGGACATGTAGAACCAGAGTCAAGTTCTGGTTGGCCAAATGCATCAACAACTGCACCTGAGTTTGCCTGAAAACCAGTTGAAGAGTTGGACGGGGAGTCTGATGTATTGCCAACACATTCTTTCACTTGAAATGTTTCTTTCTGTCTTTTGTCATTCATATACATACTGCCTTCTAAACTTGGTTCCGAAGCGGAACTTAAACTGTGCTTTGGAAGACTAGTAGAATTAGCTTTAAACCCCTCTGTAATATTGACATCAAGCGGAGATTCATTTTTCTCTGACTGTGGCACACTGGTTGCAGCATATTTCTTTGGTGGCAAAGGAGGTGGTGAATTCTGGCAAAAGAGTTTTGGCATCTGACAACCATCAGATCTGCAGGTTGACTGAACTGTATGTTCCCTGGATAGAGAGTCTGCAGAGTAACATTGTTCTATCATATTTTGTTGCTGGATGAGGGGAGCAGTTTCTGGCTTTAACCCAACAGTTCTCATGTGTGAAGACCACAATGAAGATGGTGAGACTAATTCATTACTGTTCACTCTCTTCCCAGAAGCAGGGTTATCACCATGAAAAGGTAAACCTCGTCTCTCAGAATTTTCTATGCTAAGCCACTCAGAAAATCTGCATTCATTTGGTTTTTCAAGTTTCTGTTCATCTGACTGGTGGATATGCTCTCTTGCAGTATGGTCCTTGAGTGTTTGTGGACTGGATGAAGGAAATAACTTGCCATTGGTTTCACATGTATGTGACCTAAAATATGAAAATAAAAATAAAGCTGAAACACTGTATGCAAATATGTGAAACTGGGGGAAAATAAACATTTGTCCTGTAGTTTGATTTTCCCAATATATGGTTTATATTCATTTTTATAACATATCAGAAAGGGGAAGATATTTGCAACCATTAACATTTTCAACTTTCTCTGAATCCAAAAATCTTCATGCCAGAATACATAAATGCTTACCAGAAACATCCATCATTACCAAAATCATATTTCTAATAATTAGAGATGTAATTTTAAAAGTTCATTTCAACTTAAAAACACTGAAATTACATTTATTTGTATTAAAATATAGCATAGAACTTAAGGAAAATACTATAACCAAAGAATTCAGTACCCCCAAACACCTTCTCACCAACATTCCAAAGTTTAAAGGCAACAGAGATAGAAGTATTTGAATTTTGATATATTATGCTGTAAGGACAGTATTCTAATTTAAAATAATTTAATCAAGATTACCTCTAATAATTTTCTTCTAAAGTAAAGATAAATGATATCACATTGCAAATCATCTTTCTAATATGAATTACATGGAATTGAATTAGAATAGAATGGTTAAAAAGAGTTGAGGCTTTGCTAGGTAGATAGAGCTATAATCAAATCTTAGCTCCATTCCTTGGTGCACATTACTTAATCTAAGCCTCAAATTTCTTCTTTTTTGTAAAATACTACCTACCTCGTAAGAATGCAGGACAGACAATCAGATACTGCACCTGGCACTTTGTGGGCCACTATCCTTAGGTCCACGTCCTACTAATGATCCCCAATAAGTAGCCATCATAACACTGTAGACCCACTGCTCATGCCATTCTGATAAAGAGTTCCCATGATACATGCGTTTAGGAAAAAGGTTTTTATTTCCAAATATCTATGATTACCTTTTTATCAAATGATTTTTTGTCTGGAGATGTGATTCTGGGTGGAACTCATGAGGTTTATAGCCTGTTTCCAAGTTCCTGAGTTCTTTTCTAAAGCCTGTGGTGGGGAGGAAAAAAAATTACTTAAATGATCTTATAGCATTTATTCCATTTATACTTCTTGAAATACAAAGTTTTCTATAAATAGATAATTCTCTTCCAACTAAAAAACAAAAATGAATTCTTCAAGACTTAACTTAAACTAACAGCTCTTTTTTGAACCCTTTATACAAAAATTGATGGTTCTTTCTTTAGTTAATTATCACTGAGGGTGTCAGCAATGCCAGCATAGTGCTATTCCTGCTGGGTCATGTGGAACTGTGTGTCTCCCCTGTTACACTGAGACGTGATCTTCACTGACGTGTTATGATGGAAAAATCCAGCATTTGAAGATAGATGGCTTGGGTTGAAGTTTGGACTAACGAATTAAGGGTTGGTAAGCAAGCCTCTCAACCCCTCTGTCGTGGTCTGATTACAGGACGGGGGATGACACAGAACATAAAATAACGACACAGACACACATGGACATGACAATGACTCGAGTGACCAATGCATCGGTCACTTTATTTTTATTCCCCCCCCCCCAGATCCAAGGTTAGTTCCTTGTACGTGAGAATCCAATTCCAGAGTTGTTTCAAAAGAGAACAATTTCCCATGGTCTCAGACCTCAAAATGGTTACTAAAGTTAAGGTGCTGGACAGAGCTCAAAAGCCAAGGCTGAGATAGGCAACATAAAACAATGCAGCCATTTGAAGTGCTTCTTGGTCTCAATCCCAGGCGGTGGCTCCTTCCTGGCCCCCACGGTTGTGCCTGTTTTAGGTCGCCCCCCTCCATGGGGAGTCTTACCCGTCATTGACTACCAACCATCAATCGGGGGCCAGTTCTTGGGAGAGTTCTTCTTGTTCTTGTTCTCATGGCCTCCAGACTCCCACCACGGGGGCCCTCCGTGTGGGAGTTGGGAGCATTTGCTTATGTGCAACAACTCAGGCCTCTTATCAAGTCACAAGGCAGCAACCGTGTCTGAAGACAATGCTGACTACTGCTGCGTCAGGCAGCACACGCACATTACAGGCTATAGTGAATGATTAGTATAAGGTATAACACCAGAATCAGCCCCTAACACCCCTCACAATTTCAGTTTCCACATTTATACAATGGGATTATAATCCTTTTTACCTACCTCATAGGAATATTAGGAACTTCAAGTGAATGAAAATGAGTGGGAAGTTATTATGACAGCATATAAAATATTATAACACTACTAATTAGCTATCATTTATTGACTGCTTAACTCAAGTTGTAAGAAGAACTTTATGAAGAAATTACTATCATCTTGACTTTACAGATGAGAAAACAGAGGCTTAGAAAGGTTAAGTAAGTTGCCCAAGGTTATACAGCTAGCAAATGCAGAACTAGATTTGTATGATTCGAAAGTCCATGTTCTTAACCATGATGTCATATTGTCTCCTTATAATTATTACTTATCTCCAGTTCTGACATATAACGTGCACCAAATAGTTTTTAAAATTTAACAGTATTATGAGAAAAGTTATACTAATTTGCAGTGTGACTCTGAGAACCCGAAGGTCTGCAGGTAACTTGTTCCTTTGCTAAAAGCACAAGGAACCCAGGCACCAGTATAGTGACAGAAAATCATAAAAACAAAGCACAGAAGTGTCTTTGGAGTTAATTACTTTGTGAACACCATATCACCTACTTATTAACAGAAATGAAAACTATAAAACTGTATAGAGTTATGTTAGTCATGTATCCACACAATAGCTACAACTTATGGAACACCCAAGATGTACCAAGTCTTCACTCAAAATTCAACTGGAATCTATACTTGATCAAATCATAAAAATTTACCCTATGAAAACAATCTATTCTAGTTCAAATGCTGTATTTTTCCATCATAACATGTTGTCAGTTCTCAAAGTGTGGCCATGGAACCCTGAACGTCTTTAAGACCCTTGCAGGGGGTTTATGAAATCATACTATTTTCATAATAATACTAAGATGTTATTTTTCTTTTTGACTATGTTGACATTTACACTGATGGTGCAAAAACAATGATGGGCAAAACTGCTAGGGTAATACCAGGCAATGACACCAAACTGTGCTATAGTGCTGCACTGTTGTGGTTTTTTTAAAAAAGCCAATTTCACTTAATGCTTGATGAAGCAGCAAAAATTATTTACTTTGTTAATTTACTTGATTTACACATCCTTTTACTATTCTGTGTGAGGAAATGGGAAGTATGCATGACGCACTTTTGCTGCATACCAAGTATGACAGCTGTTTCATGAAAAAGCATTCATAGAATAGTTTATCAGTTGAATTTAGCTGGTTTTATCATACAACACCATTATGATAAAATTCAAGCTTTTAAATGAAAGTAAGAATTTTTGAAAACCGGAATCCACCAACATAAGTTCTGCAACTTCCTAATACTTAAAAAGAATTCCTGCTATTATCTCTGATGATATTAACAAAAGCTCTCTGAGGTCATCAATCCTTTTTTAAGAGTATAAAGGTATCCTGAGACCAGAAAGTTTGAAGACTGCTGTTCTAATGGATAACATTCAATCCTTTAAAACCTCAGTTATAATTATTCTGTGAAACAACTGCCATTTCTTACACTTGAGGAGACTGAGGCTCAGGGAAGTTAACTGACTTAACCAGTGCTATGCAGCTGGCAAGCAGCAGCATTCCAACCAACCCAGGGTTAACTCCCAAGCACTGGAATGACCGTGTGCTCCTGCAGGCCCTGCAGGCCCTCCTTTGCACATGCCGTCAATACACAAAGTCATTATACTAAATCTCCTTGGGGGGAAGGGGGGCACTAGGCCATTAGTTTGAACATGAAATAACGTGACATGTTTTAAGATGCTGATGCCCACAGAAAATGCTGAAACAGTGTCATCACTTCTGTGACATTTCTAGGACATTTCCTGCAGGCCCCCATATATTCAGTCGCCCTTTCCAACATGTTCATTTGCTGTCTCCTCTCATTCTCTACTTCCAATGTACTCTACACCAAATCTATGAAGTGAGGACCACAAAGAAAACAAAATACAAAATCAAAGGTATCAAAGCAGTGACTTTATTTTTTAAACAGTAACAGAGAACTTTGTCTTAGATGCTTCCTTAATCCCTAAATTGATCTTCTAGATACATTTTTAAAAACCACACTGTCTCTCAAAATTCAACTGGAATCTACACTTGATCAAAACATGTAAAAATATACCCTAGGAAAACAATCTATATTTGATTATGATCAGGCTCTATAAGTTAAATCTTGGAAACAATTTGTAAGAGTCATGTAATATACATGAGGATTAATACCCTATGTGTCATATGGCTCACATAGAAAATAAAAAAACCTAAGATGGTAGAATGAGGGGAACTACAAGTCACCTCATCTAAGACTTAACACTGTGACTTACACTAAATTGCAGCAAGCTCTTTGACTGTATGATACGTGCCTTTCTGTTAGTCTCTCCAGAGGCTAGCACAGTATCTAGCACGATGTCTAGAAGACATTCATCTGCAGAATGAACAACTGCATGAAAAACACACTGTTTTCTTCTTGGAAATCACTCTCACCATTCCAACTACGTTCCCAACTCACTGATGCCAGGAACAGATAAGGATGAATTGAGACTAATCTTATCTTTCCCTCTCCCCCATCTCAAGTCTGTAAGTGCCACACTAGTAAAACCTTACAAAGGCAGTACAATTTGTCCCAGAGAGCCTCTCTAGAAGGAATATGCAACTTTTCATGCTTGAGAAAACAGCTGTGGGTAAGCCTGACACACTGCCTTAGGCTCAGAAACTTCATCACTCTCTTCAATACCTAATTTATGATTTGAAAAAAGAAATGTAAGAAGTAATGTCAAAAAGAACTTCAATTCAGGCTTAAAGCCTGAATAAATTTTTAAGTTGAAATTATGTTTATTTCTTAGCTTATCCATAATTTCAAGTTTAATAATCACAAATAAAAAAGTGTTTAATTCTTGAATAACTCTTTACTTTTATTACAGTTTCCACACAATAGACAGCAGGAGGCAGCAGAGGTTTTATGAACACGTTTGAAACTGTAATGTCACTGTGGCAGGCATTCAACCAAGTGGTCTGACTTCAGAATTCTAACTAATTTAAAAATAGATGTGCTATTTTTCTCTTCTGCTGACACAGACATCCATGTGTCTTCATGGGAAATCTTGGCTCCAGGTTATTTGCTAATCTAAAATAGTCTGATTTTAACACTTGGCACAGAAAAACCCTCCATGTCAACGCAAGAAGCTTTCATAATACTAATTTTGATACTGTATCCAAAAAAACCCAAAGCAAAATAGTCAAGAAATCAAAATACATATTTCATTTGAAAAAATGACGTAGGTTTAAAAGAGATTTGGATAGCAATAAAACCAGACTGCTCGTCGTGTGATCTTTAACTCTGTATAGTGAGACTCCAGAATATATTGGCAATACTTCAACTATAAACCCTAACCCTCAAAAGAAATAATTTAATCAATGACATAATTTATAGTAAAAGTACATTTAAATGAAACTGGAATATGTCAGATTAATCACAAAACTTTAACTGGATAAATATTTCTGGCTAAATTTATCACATATTAAAAGGAGGAGGGAGATATTTTATAATAATCTATACTATCAGATACCTAAATATTGGGATGTCACAAAATACAAAGGCAGGAATCAGTAACTTCTTTTCTCAATGGCATTATAATTTAAAGGAAAAACAAGTATTTCTATTTCACTACAAATTAAATTTCAATCCTGAAAGTTAATAAATGTTTTAAAAAATACATTTGTTGCTGACGGTGGGCCACAGCAACAGAAAAGAATGTTATCAGTCTATGAAACTCTTAAAAGAATTTAACGTAATAGAAAGAAAATCAACTGATAAAAATACTTCTTTCTCTAAATACACTTTCTAATGTATTTATTTTAAATAAACTCTTAAGTTTGCCAAAAACATCTTAGAGAAAATTTGTATATCTAGCACTCTGGGAGGCCAAGGCGGGC